CGGACGCTAGTAGAGCGATTGATAGTACATTGACATATTTCATGAGAGAAACCCTTCTGATGCATCAATGTACACTACTAGATAGCACACCTATTATTCCATTCATCTATAAATGCCAAGGGAAAAATGCTTGGAATCTAAAATGGAGACCAAAGTTTGCTTCTATGGTGCACTCGTTTTAACTTTTATGAATGTCTAGACCTACAGTGGAATCAAGCTCCAACTCATGGAGTGGAAGCTTCTTCCCTGAGACCACTTTATAATAGATAAAGAAGTATGCAATTTTCATTTTTATTTTTGGATTTAGTATTGTTTACTTCTCTTTTATGCCTGGTCTTTCTTACGTACACCCCCTAGTGCGCCTATGATATAAACCCTTTTGCACCTTTTTAATGTAAGTAACTTACCACCAGTTTCTTTTTCTTTTTTTTATTAGGACCAAACATCCTCAACACTGAAATGACAAGAGTGAGGATTGGCGCAGCGAAAATGTTATCCCCAGATTCCCTAACCTTATGGGCAAAAAGTTGCCCGTAAATTGCAAGTTAAAGTAACTCACCAGTACTCATTTACCATTTGTTTCAGCCTAGTTTCAAGACGGAAAAACAATGAAGATCTCTCAAAATCCTGCTTATCATGTGCTGGCTCTATAAAATTTGCTTCAAGAATTCCTGTAATATATTAATAAAATTAAGTAAATGAATACAACCAGAACATATCTAAGTGAGAAATACAGAGTTAAAGAATGATACCAACAACACCGTTCCCTTTTGAAGAACCATCAGCTGTGACTTTCCAAAAGGGCTGCAACAATGTAAACAAACTCGCTGCCTTAGTAAACTAATTGGAATTACTGGCCCACAATTACACAATGCTCATCCTTATCATGTAACCAACTTGGAACCCCATAAACTTTCATGGAAGAACTCAGCTGTACAGGGATCAAAATAATCAACCGAAGTTCAGAACGCTGTGCAACTAAAAATTAAATTCCGATCTTGAACTTCCATATGAGATATATTAATTCACAGTGAAAGCAACGTAAAAATCAAATATATAGAAAGTGCACTTCAGCATTTTCAAAACATACCCTGATGAGGCGATTTTTATGGTACAGGTTGAATCCAGTAACTCCAAGATCAGGCGCCTCCTTTATGAATCCAATGGTTGTTTCCACTATAACCTTAAACAACGAAATCATGATTTTACCATCTACTCTCTTCGTTTTTTCAAAACTATAGAACTTCCACAGTGACTTTTTTTCATTCACTTGAGATTACTTCTCCAAAAACTCAAGAAAACTTCAGAGCTCAAGAAGATTATTGCAGGGAAAAGGAAAGATCACTAGATAAGGATTGATGCTTTTATCTTACCTCATTCAATGTTGTTATCTGAGGCCTGTATGTTTTTACTTCTAAATATTTCAAGTCATCTTTAATATGATATTGCTGTATAGGTTTTCCCCTTAATACAATTTTGAAGTTCGTGAATGTTCTGAGGTACAGAATGGAAGCATATGCCTGACCAAAAGAATATGATTGAATTAGAATCGTCTCAGTCTGTCAAACCAATAATGCTGAAAACAGAAATTTCATAAAATTTTGATAAGTTACCCTCAATGAATAGCGCATACGGTAAGATATATGGGATTGTATTTTCTGTTGTATTTTAGTTGACTTTCCACCGGCAGCTTCATCTCTCAACCGTATATCCTACATCAAACAAAAGAACCACAAATACTATGAATATTAGGATCCTCTAATCTATATCAATGAATATGTTCCCTCCCTCCAACTTTTGAAATAAAGTATATGGAGTACCCTGTTAACATTAATCTATTAAAATTGTACACAAAGTTTCTTTTTCATTAGAAAAAAAAATTCAAAATAACATGATATACCAATATACTCAGTTTTTGCAAGTTTTGCATGCTTGATGTCACAAAATACTTTGTGTATGTTCGCATTCGTGCATGTTTTAAGGGGTTGAAATATCATACAAAGCATTTTTATATTCATCATTGTGTAGAATAAGTTATAAGATAAAAGGATCATCTTCAGAAATGCTGAAAAAGAGAATTATAGCCAATTAGTGGTTATCAGGGCATAGTTTAACTGAGTTTACTTAACCAGTTAATGAGGAACACTAAATCATTCAGTTATTCCCTTAAAATTCTGAAGTTCAGACATGTAGATGAAATTTTTTAGTAAATCAGTAATTCATAATAAGACAGCTCTTAATATATATAACTAAAATATGTCCTTAAGAAAGCTTTTACAATTTACGTTCTTCTGAATAAGTACGGCATACCTCATCATCATCATCAAAACTTAGTTCATATATTCCTTCATCATTTAGCCACAAATTGTATATAACTATTCTTGTTCCATGGGCTCCAATTTCCTCAAACTGGAAAATAGAAATTATAAAATCAAGAACAATAACAAAAACCAGTCAGGGAACAACGTATGTTGACGGCAACCTATAAAATAGTAAGTAGTGCATGCAGTAATCAGAGCCTGTACATTCGGTTAAAAAAAAGGGCAGCCTGTATATCCACTACTGTGGTTGTAGAAATGTGATAGCTGAAGGCATCATGGGATGCTGGAAAAAGTCAGTGCAGGCACTAACTGCGTGGCCTTAGTAACTACAGATATTAAAACCTATTTCCCTATTTCTCAAAGGATATCAAAGTAAGGGCAAACCGAGCATATGTTTCTGCCTGCAACACCACTATGGGATTGTTCAAATCCATGTACCAATATAAACTCTTTGTTCTAATAGCTTAAGGAAACATGAAGACCGAAAGCAAGGGCATCTCCTGCATGATAAATCTGTAACATATCCACACAACCCCTTCCAACTAGGTAACAACCATCTGAAAGCAGATACTACCAATGTACAACTTCTGTCAAACAGTTGCTTTTAAGTTAATAAACTTAGGTAGATGATGATATTTCTGTAAGAAGACTCAAATCAAATAACCTGTAGCATGAGATCCTCCTTTGATGCAAAGGGAGACCATTCTAGGATTGTTTTCAAATTAGAAGTCCAGTCATCCTGCGAGCCATAAGTTATTGGTTCAACCCAGTTTCCAGAGATGTCAAAATCAATCTGCAATACAAATAAAACTGAAGTGTTAATTGTGTACACGGATTTCACTGCAAAGTCTCAAGGAGGAAAATAGAAGCTTGATGTTAACGGGCCAAACAATACCATTGGAACAATAACATCATCCTGTCCAGTTCTCCGGAGGAACGTATAAGATAATAGACCAACACTCTGGGTAGCTTTGCTAAAAGACAGGTGTAAGGGGAAAGTAAGTCATAACATTGAATTTTTTAACTCAATTCTGCAAGCGGAAATTTTATTTATGTCAAGATAAAATAATTAGGGAAAAAGAATATACTAACCCACATGAGTGCGCATATATCAATCAATGAAAATTTTGGAAAAATCACACAAATCCAAGCTAAATGCATACACAACCATTAGGTTTAAATCGTAGCTTCAAGTCGGAACCTTTAGTTTCATGAGGTTGGATGTGTTAATCAACCATATTTGGGCATATGGTTGTAAATGTGTGCGGGTGGAAAAGAAATATGGTAAAGGGTGGGAGTTGATTGCCTCAGCTAGTTTGACAGGAAAGTAAATTAAAAAGAAAAAGAAATTAAAAATACCCTGAGCGAATTGCACGGCTGAAAACAATGACATCAGCACCTAGCCGCATGGTACTTGTCTTGAATCCATTACCATCTGAAATGTAAAAGCTGTCAGACGGCAAGATGAACAAAAACATGCAAACGCTTGCAAATATTTTTTAGCATAAACAAAACAAATTCTAAAACCTGGCTATACATGCAACTCCTTGAAAAATAGTCCAACAAAAATGACATCGTTGAAAATAAACATACAAAATCACATAACTGTGCAAATGATAAACTGACAAATCAAGCCAACAGCTAATGAAACAAGAAGATCGGTATAATTACATTGCCCAATAGTCGTGTTTGCCTTCTTAGTAGAATAACCCAAGCTCATGCATTTGCGCATACCTTCAGGATCCATTCCCCCACCATCATCTGCACAGAAAGCGTCACCATTTGCAATTTTCTTTACTGTTTAAGAAATCACATATCAACCACAAATTAATAAACTTAACAATTGAAGCCATACCTTGGAAAAGTAAGGCTGGGGAGTTATCTTTCACAACATCAATTTTATCAACTCTCACAAAAGTTGCACCATTTTGTACCTTTATTAAGGTAGAGAAAAAAAGAAGAACAAGGATTTAATGTCTTACTTTCCTTTGTCTTCACTTTTGGGTGCATAAACACATATAGAAAGGCATAACACCATAAGCTAAAGCTCACCTCATCAACAGCATTGTCCAATAGCTCAGCAATGGCTGCAAACAAAAAACAAATAAGCAGAACGAAAATTGAGTGAATTAGTTGAAAATTAGGAAGAAACCCAATTTCGCTAAACATGTAAAGAGGAAGAAGAGCTTACCGCCAAAAGCCCATTTATGCGAAGTAGCATTGGAATGAAGAAACTTGGGATGGACCCGGGCATGTTCCAGCTGCCCTTGGGCAATATAGGGCCTGGCGGTGGGTCCCACGGCATAGTCGCCGGCTTTCCAGAAACTACGAGAGTCTAGGGTTTGACAGTTGGGAGCCAAGGGCTGTTGCTGCGGTTGAGATGTGGCTTGCGGCGGTGCTCCGGTCGACGAGGCATTGTTGTTCTGGTTTGGTGCTCCGACTCCGGCACCGTTATCGTCGTCGCTGTCTAGCTCCACGACAGGGATGGCTTCCTTCTCTCTTTTAGGCCGCATTTCGAAGGCTCTCGCGTTCACAGTAGAGTAGCTTCACTTCTTTTTTTGGCATGCTCCTCTTGGGACAAAACGCACCGTTTTGGAGGTGAAATAGGCTAGGTTGGGCTTGGGCCTGTTGGTGAGTGCCATACTTACTAACCCACTAACTAAACATACCAAAAACACGCATTGTCTGATTTGGTTTGAAGCTTGAAGCATCTCTGGGTGCTGCTGGGCTCATTTTCTTGACGACAATTCCATTGCCCTTCAAAGGTACTCTGCTTCTCTTCCTCTGTCTCTACGATTTGTGTTGTGATACTCTTTTTGCTTTTAGCTACGGTTTCTTCAACCCCTGAAGTTTTCCTGACAGTTTCTCTTATTGGGTATGTAATTTAGGGTAAAAGCAAAACATGTAGGCAGTTGGGTGATGCCTCAAAGTATTTTTATGGTTGAATTGGAGTTAATAAATGCTAATCGGTGTTCTTTAGTACAGTTAAGATGAACCCTTGAGCTTAATTAGATGTTCCTTGATGGTCATCTCTTTTCTCATATGTATTTCTGAATTAGGCTGACATTTGTATATTGGTGACCCAACAAATGTGGATGCTCAATTGTGTGTGTGTGTGTGTGTGTGTGTATTGCCGAGTGGTTGAGCAAGAGGAACTCAATGAATCCTTGATTTCCAAAACTAGATGATTATAGCAGACCAGTATAAGGAACAGTTGACTAGCTTCTGAATTTATGTTTGCTCCCCAAATACATAAATATTTTTTTGAACATTTTTGTGATATGGTGAAGAAATTTCTTTTGGATCTTATCTTTATGATAGTAGGCGATTTGTAAACCTACGAAGATATTATGGCATTACCGTGTCCCATAACCTTATTGGAATAGTGGAAAATCTCTTTTTTTAACAAGAGGAGTTAATTGTAAGAGTTATCTTTGACCCCATGCCATTTTACATAGGAGAAAATAGATGAATACAATTTGATAATGGGGCAATCTCTACTGTTAATGATTTTTTGATAATAGCTTTACCCGAATTTAATTAGAGTTCGTAATGTGTCATAATATTTGGTTGCAATCTGTTTGCTGATCTGCTGAAATATGCTGCTTGTTGGAAAATATTGTGTTCTGTTTGGGAAAGAAAGCATTTCTTTTTATCTTTTGGACAATGCATTTGTAAATTCTCTGTGTAAGTGAACTTGGTGCCTTTTATTTTGGAAGCACCTTTGCATTCCGAGCCAGATTTATGAAAGTATCTAATGTTCTTGAGGCAACTCAGCAGTTTCCAATTTTGGCAATGGAAACAAGTGCAATCCCTGAGCACAACTTGATGATCGATGGAAGTGCTTCGCCAACTCTGCAAATTGACCCTAGAAGAGCCCGGTTTCCATGCTGCATTGTGTGGACACCCCTTCCTGTTATTTCATGGTTGATTCCTTTCATTGGCCACATTGGCATATGCAGAGAAGATGGTGTGATTTTGGACTTTGCTGGGCCCAATTTTGTGTGCGTGGATAACTTTGCTTTCGGAGCAGCGACTCGCTACATCCAAATAAGCAAAGAAAAGGTATATGCACTCTTCATATCTGAACCCTGATTTTGGCTCCTATGTAATTACCTTTTATAAATCTGTTGCCATTACTGGAGAAGTGTGCAATTACTATAACCCTGCTTCATGAGCAGGGACATGCCTATATACCTTGATTTGGTGCAATGAGTAGATGGGAGCTGCTCCCTGAGTCCAAGATTTTCATTTATGTATTCACCTGCTATTCCTGTCTTAATTTGTGTTCATTAAAATTTTGACAAGCAGTGTCACTCTATTCCCAATCCATCTGTGTGTCAAAGCGAGGATCAATACGGGCAGGATGAACCTGGAAGGGACATAATGACATGGGATGATGCACTTCGGAAGGGCACGCAGGAATTCCAACACCGATCTTATAATATTCTTTCCTGCAATTGCCACTCCTTTGTAGCCAACAACCTAAACAGGTTAGGCTTTCGTTCTGGTGGGTGGAATGTGGTGAACCTTGCAGCTCTGATCTTCCTCAAGGGTAAATGGGTGAGCACGGCATCCATGGTGCGGTCCTTTTTACCGTTTTTAATAGCATTCGGTCTTGGAGTTGCATTTGCAGGTTCAACCTTCCTAACTTACTTAGGATTCTTCACGGCCTTTCTTGTTGGATGGTTTCTTCTTGGTACTTACTGTTTCAAGAGTTTGATCCATTTGTAAGATTTCTGTTATTTGAAGTCAGTTATACAGAAACCTTGTTTTTAGAGACGTGTGATTCATGTGTATACAACAGTGGCATTTGCCAGCTACTCTGGACATTTTAAATAGCCCCTGATCTTTCCTGTTAATTTCTAAGTGTTTGTTTCCTCCTAAGAAGGCATGTGATCCAAGAATTGAATGCTGTTCCAATTTTAAACTTTATAGTTTCTTCTTTTATGTTGGTTTCTTGGATTTAAACTCTGCTTTGGTCTCTCCGACAGATCGAAAGCTTCTGTTACTATGTTCACGTTTATTGGCATTCTCATTATTTCCTAAATAATGTCAATTAACAAGTAGGAGAATTAAGATTTGAATTCCATTAGCAAGTCTCCAATGAATCAAACGCGCATTTGGACCTGACAACATTAAAACTCATGGTTGATAGGATAAACACTATTTACAAATTGAGAGATTCAATATTATACCCAATATTTTGCGGGATTTATATACCATAAGTAATACGGATTCTACTAATAAAACATAGCAATCTTAATGGCGTGCAACAAATCAAGATTGGATTTTAGACATAAAAGGTTAACCAATTAGCATTTTTTTTAAATTATATGAGAGAATTTGATTCGATTGAATTAAATTAAACCATTACTTTGCTTGTTACCTTACAAGGAATCCAACAATTAATTTATCCTAATCCAAGCTCATTACTCCATTCTTCACCGCATGATTTCACCCCAAAGGCACTTCCTCCGACAACAATGATGGAGCCACACGTGGGCTTGAGGATTGCCCTACCCTACAATGCGACAATAAGAACATAACTTCTTCCTTTTTCCACGTTCATTCAAATGACTCTAGACCTGTCCAAATTACATAGCAATGAAATGAAATGAATCTAGAGATATACCAACACATCAAGCACAATCAAATCACATGCTATATTAGGTGACCATCATACCTTGTTTGTCCGAGTATACCTAACCGGATGCCCTTGATTCTTGCAAGTCAACAGTCGAAGTCTACTCTATCAACGGTTATGATTTAAAGATCCACGGATCATATTGTGGGCTAGCGCACAATACGTCCTTCTAGCGTACGTCCATTTACGTTGCATGGGAATCTCCTTTTATACACCGTCCTTATCGATCGTGGCACATTCGTTATTAAACTGAATACTAAGGCCAATTGGGCAGTGACAAACAACTGCGGTTTTTCCTTTTCTTATTTAAGCCAGTGAGTGAGAGAGTCCGAAACCAACATATAATAAATAATAAAAAGCGGACGCGTTTATTCTCTGTGGTATTTTCTGTTTGTTTCTGAAGAAAATTGTAGAGAGCGAGAAAATAATGGCAGCAGAGGAGGGACAAGTTTTCAGTTGCCATACTCTCGATGCATGGAACGAGCAGCTCCAGAAGGGCAACGACTCCAAGAAGCTGGTATTTTATTCAATTGCTCACACCCAAAAAAAAAAAAAAAATTCATATATATATTTGGTTTGCTGTTTCTGGTTTTGGGTGATTGGGTTAAATACTTTTAATGAATCTGATTAACGGGTTTTGTTTGGTTTTTTTTTTCGTATGAAAAAGAAAAAGATTTGGTTGGTTTTCGTTTGGTCTAGATTTATGTACAAAGCGTAAAGATTTGGTTTGGTATGCTTCATAATCCATGCATGAATGAATTAGCCTGATTGCTGCTGTACCGTAGGCAAAGAGGTTCTGTTTGTTTGAATTTGGAATTTTCTTTTGGATTTTGGTGATTCTTCCATGGAAATTATGAAGCCCTTGGCTGGATTCGTTCTGGGAAAACATGTTGGTGAAAGCTGTTCAATAAATTGGCTTCGTTCATTTAGCATTTTGTTCAAATTCAAGCGTCTTTTGTTTCCTTTGTTAAAAGTAATATGGAACCTCTTGTTAAGTTTTGTTCGACTCCACTCCACCCTTTAGTGTGTCCTTTATTTGGTCATATAACAAGTTCTTAGGAGAAACACTTACATGAAACAAGATAGCTTTGTTGTTTCCGGGTAATCATGGTATGCTATGTGTGATAACTTTTTTACATGACATATAATAACAAAACAGTGTTATCCCCATTTTATACAATTTTTTCTGAGTTAGTACACGCACAACTTTTCTTTTAGCTTTTTTATTATCTAGAGGAAACGAACGGCCAAGGGGCATATGTGCATATGTGTTCATTCTTCAATGTTAAAAGAATATTCCAGCTCAAAGATAATATTTTCCTACCACGTTTATTGCGTTTGCTACGTTCGTAAATCTAAGAATCCTAGGTTGAAAACGACTTCTTTCTGCTCCTTATCTTGATAAGGGTATATTGGTGGAACTACATCATGTTGTCTCTCTGACTTAAAGTCGTTCTCTGTTTTTTATTTTGACCCTCCTGTTACCTTTTCATTTTGGTATCTACAAATGCCTCTTGTACCGTTGAGTTTCTTGATGAAGCACTTTTACTTATAAGTGCTTTTATTATAAAAATATTGAAATTTTCATAAGAAATCGAAGCACATAGCATATGCTTCTCTAAAAAGTAAAACACTTTTATATTTTTCTGCCAAAGACTGTCAAAAGTGTTTTTTATTGTCAGAAAGTACTTTAAGCCCTTACAACAGCACTCCTAAACTTGTTATGGGTTGAACTCAAAATATTTTCCTTCTCAAAGTAGCAGATGTGCCACTAGGACTAGGCTTCAAGGGGCCATGGTGCAGTTATAAAAAATAGTCGTGATGGGACAAGGTATATTATATATATGCATGCGCATCAGTAATTAATGGAGGGATAAGGTTTTTGTTTTACTATTCACATTTTTCTCACAGTAAAGTTGTATTGTATTCTTTTACTTCTCTCTCGTGTTCTGAGATCATCAATCAAATGCAGATGGTCATTGATTTCACTGCTTCATGGTGTGGACCATGCCGCTTCATCGCACCATTCCTGGCAGAGTTGGCTAAGAAACTGCCAAATGTCATATTCGTAAAGGTTGATGTGGATGAGTTGAAGGTAACATACAAAAATAAAGTGAAAATCTCTCCTAAAAGTAAAACTTATTTAGTTTAAACTCATTTGCAAGTGTTTCTTTTTTTGTTTTTTTGGTTGGTAGTCTGTGGCTCAAGACTGGGCCGTAGAGGCAATGCCAACCTTCATGTTCCTGAAAGAAGGAAAGATAGTGGACAAAGTGGTGGGAGCAAAGAAAGACGAGCTGCAGCAGACTATAGCAAAACACGTTGCTTCTGCGTCTGCTTCTGCTTGATAACTTATGATATAATTTGCATTATATGCCTATTTATCTTAGACTATATATATAGCAAAAGCACATGGCCACAGACCTTACGATGCGCTATCAATGTAGACTTTTATTATAAGTTATAACCCCTTTCACCTATAAGTTATAACCCCTCTCACTTGTTCTAAGTCCTGTGTGTGGTAATTTTATATGATATTGCTACATAAATACAGTTCTGTTCAGCTCATTTCATGGTTTATGGTTGCATTTTATGCAAATCTATGAAGTTAGCAGATGACATGCTAGTTTGGCATACTGTGAAAATTCCGTATAGTTGCGGTAGGTAAGTTCATAACTTGAGAGGGATCTAGATGCATGAGTATATGCTCTTAACCACTTGAGCTACAAACCCTTTGCCAATTTGCGAGTCTGGTGTGTTTTTACTTTTACTGTTGAAGGCATTATCATCAAGTCGTAAATCATGGGAGATTATTTGCTTTTTTTACTTTCCCTTTGATAGAGGATTTAAAGAATATGCCATCAGAGACAAAGCCGAAGTAACACAACGAAATGGACAGCACAAATCTCTCACTTTTCTTCTCATTCCTGAACTGCACAGTAAACAAATGGTCATACTAGGATCCACTCCCAACATGAACCTTAAATACCTAATTAGTTCTGGGGTATCCTTTTTCCCCAACAACAGATGAACAGTAAATCATTCAACAGAAAAACACATCACTTCCCAGTGCCCATATATCCCGTTAAAAGGCCGGGGACCGGGGCTTGACCCCTAGGGACCAAATTGTAGGACCCCAGGTTTCCTACCAACTCACCTAAGTAACAAGTTCACTACTTTACATAACTTCATTAAGCTCACTTAAATTGACAGCTAATTGCCTTTTGGCTCCAAACATAGCTACTACTCTTCATCAGAAAGAAAAAAAAACTATGGCACTCCACCTAACTACATTGCTATCTCGCTGTACTTGAACTCTTATTCTTCTTTGCTTGCCTCTCTTGCTGTGGTGTATAATTATGGGATTAGGTGCAACAATTATGGTATGTTATTTCACACTTTCACTAACCCCTCGAATTGGGTTCCACGGTCGTTGAAGCTATGGGAGCACAAACAGCTTCAACTGACAGCCGCTTCAACACCTTTGGACATGGATCTCCGAAGTTGCTGTTGGATATGGTGACTGCACATCTCTGCTTCCCTATGCACTTCTGTGATCACAAAAGATAAAAAAAGATAGAACACAGTTAAAAAGGAGGGGTTAAGAATACTAGCACATTATGAAAACCAGAAAGCATTGTTAAGCACCTTCTGTAATACAGAATATGATGTGGTGGCATGGCAAGTTCCTTCTTGGTAGCTCCCACAGGTTCCCAAGGGTGTGCCAAAGCTAGCGAATTTAATGGAAGATATAGCCTGGCCTGGGTTACACCGTAAATGCACCTTGGGACTCTGGAAGTCTTCTGCTTTTCCATAGCTTTCAATGTGCCAATTCTTTATTGTTGGGTGGTATTCGGCGACCTCAGCACAAACACTGCTGACCGATCTCTTTACTAGAGAAATTCTTGAGGGATCCCCTCCAAGTTCCTCAAAAATTACCAAAAGATTTTGCATTGGTTTTAACCAAGACCGAGGCACATGGTACCTGAAAATGAAATCCACGTGAAATTGAAGGGGAGAATTTGTTTGCTGAGTAAAGCCACGAAATGTTTATGCCATACTTTCATACTACAATTCATGTTATAAATTTTAATCATAGGGTTACTTACACTCGTTGTGTGGGTTGGCCACAACCCACTTGACACTTTGGAGGCCTAAAGCCCCCAGCATAACTGCAACCATTGCAATTACCATTAGCAAATGCAGTCCAGTATCTCCCAATACTCTGCCCATTGATCCATATTTGGCCCTTTCCCATTCCTTCCATGTCCAAAG